TGAGAGCTCAACAGACAGTTAGGTTTCACTTTCACTTTCACCCAAGAGCCTGCAGGCGTCATGGGCGGGGTGTGTGGGGAGGGGGAGGAAGCTCGGCTTAAAGACACGTCCCAGGGGCATTTCTGGTCCCCACCTGTCGTTTTGCTCCTCAGCATGACTTCCTAAAAACACTGCAGGATTTCTCAAACATGCATGAATGAGTCAGAGCAAGGCTTTGGGCATGTTTTTTTTAAATGAGAGTATAACATTATAACATGATATAAAACTCAAAAAAGTTGATTTTACATGATATTGCCCCTTTAAGCTAACAGAGAAACCAGGATAATTTCAATAGTTAGTGCCAAAATATTGCACAAAACGTAGCACTCTGTGTGTTAGGAATGATTTTATCTACTACCAGTAATCGGTCAGATCAGCTGAGTTTGTTTTCTTTTTGCTTGTGTTGTTTCCTAAGGTAAGCTGGTTGTGGTGGCCATCTTGAATTGTGTTGACTCCAAAAATTATTCATTTATAGATGAAACTTTCTRAGTTTCATTAAAATTCATTCAGTGTTAAATGAGATATTTTACTAACACTGCAGAGAAATGAACACAGACATTAGCCAAACCAGTGTTGCCCTGCAGCCTTTAGCTGTGGGTGATAAAAACGGACCATTTCTGCTGCCGTCTGAACACTGCTCTGATTTGAACCTTTCAGTGAATTAACATTTTATTTGTTTTCTAACTTACTTTCAATGAAATAAACCGTTGATGGAAGAGCTGATTAGAACAGAGTCAGCTGCTATTCTCCATCTTCTTCCTGTTTTAAGTGAAACTAGGGAGTTTGACAGAATCTTTCATTTCCTGTCAGTAAAGAAGGTGGCAGTGATTCATTTATTTTTCTGCTGTCAGAGTTTAATCAGCACTGAATTAATTTCTTAGCAGGGACGTCAAATCCAAGCATTATTCTAAAGACTGAAGATGTGTTTAAAGMAAACACAAACAGCATACGGAGCGGGTGGGTGGGTGTGGTGAAAGATGATCACTTACTGCAGACGTAGCAGTGATCTGCTGAATCCAGTCTGCTGGTTTTTAAATGGACTCTGAGCTCAGCCACTTMCTGCAGGCCACAGTCCAGCAGGCTCAGTTCAGTAGCAGCACTGCGTCAAACAGCTCCACTCATTCACACAACTTTACTAAACATGAATGCTTTTGCTCCTCATGTACCTGCAGCTTTCACTCTGTAAGATCAAATATCATGRTCTGAATACAGGAAGCACTTTGACTCTTGAAGGGTCCTGCTTCCCACAAACCTCATTTCAGAACTGAGGGAGACGCTTTGCTGCTTATCATGATGAAATAATCTAAAACATTTCTGGAGAGAAGCAGTATTTTTTCCATGTTTTGTTTTCTTAGTTTCTTTTTACTTTACCTTGTGGTCTCTTGTTTTCAGTATGGGTGTAACTTGACACTTGTTTCACAAGAGAGGATGAGATGAAACCCTCGATCCACAAGAACAAGATGAGGTTTATAATTAATTTTAGGAAAAAAATTACCTTTAAGTCACAAACTCAACAGACTGGAATCTTTCTTGCCTGATTTCTCATCAGACCTTTTAGTCCTTAGAAGGTTCCTCTGTAGGGATGTGGATAAATGTGTTTGTAACATTTTAGTAAAGAAAAAACAAAGAAAAAACAAACAAAAAACAAATGGCCAAATATCTCAAAGTTCATCTGGTCGGAGGTCTTCAGTGGTCAAACATTATCTCACAGGTTCAGGTCATCAGGTTGGAGGTCATCATTGGTCAAACATTGTCTCACAGGTTCAGGTCATCAGGTTGGAGGTCATCATTGGTCAAACATTGTCTCACAGGTTCAGGTCATCAGGTTGGAGGTCATCATTGGTCAAACATTGTCTCACAGGTTCAGGTCATCAGGTTGGAGGTCATTGGTGATCAAACATTATCTCATAGGCCCAGGTCATTGGGTCGGAGGTCGTCATTGGTCAAACATTATCTCACAGGTCCAGATCAACAGGTAAGAGCTTGTCGTTGGTCAAACATTGTCTCACAGGTTCAGGTCATCAGATTGGAGGTCATCGTTGGTCAAACATTGTCTCACAGGTTCAGGTCATCCGGTCGGAGGTCATCAGTGGTCAAACATTATCTCACAGGTCCAGGTCATCAGGTCGGAGGTCATTGTTAGTCAAACAGTATCTCACAAGTCCAGGTCAATAGGGTTGGAGGTCATTGGTGATCAAACATTATCTCACAGATCCAGGTCATCGGGTCGGACGTCTTCAGTGGTCAAACATCTCACAGGTTCAGGTGATCAAGTCAGAGGTCATCGTTGGTCAAACATTATCTCACAGGTCCAGATCATCAGGTTGGAGGTCATTGCTATCAAACATTATCCCACAGGTCCAGGTCATCATGTCGGAGGTTGTCTGTGGTCAAACATTATCTTACAAGTCCAGGTCATCTGGTCGAAAGTTGTCGTTGGTCAAAGAGTATCTCACAGGTCCAGGTCAATATGGTCGGAGGTCA